CCAGGCGCAGGCAGGATCCTGCCTGGTCTTCAGCGACAGGGAACAGCGGCGTGGGCATGTCACCAGAAAAAGGGGCTAAAAGCCACTGCGGGAAAGGATTTGGGGGGCTGGAAGCCAGGTGGACCTCGCTGATCCTCTTTCCGATCTTTGCAGTCTTTTCCTTGGCAGAGACTTGCCCGAGTCGCTCCTTGCTCGAAACCGATTCTCCCTGAGCATCCCTACGGGTGCGGAGGAGACGTGTGGCCATGAAATGCAGGCTCAGCTCTCCCCACCACCCAAAAGTGCCCACAGAGTTTTATCTTTGCCCTTTGGTTTCTCTGAAATTTGCTTTAGGATCCTTTAGTGCTGCTGATCCTTCGCTGGTGTTTCTTGGCTGTGGGACCAGCCCCCGGGGGGGTGCAGGCAGCCAACTTCAGAGCTGTCCCAGGGCTGCACTAACATCACACCGGGCAGAGCGTCAGGCCGACCCTGCCAGGCAGTTAGGGACGATGCAGGGAAACCCCTTTTCTCCATGGTCTCCCAAATCCCTGCACGAAGCATGGTTTGGCCAAGCTGGATGAGGAGTCTTGTCTGCTGAGCCAGGTTTATGTAAGCGCTGATTTGCGGTGTCGAGAGATGTCTTAAGAATCAGCTCGCCTTTGGAAAATGTATAAATACATGGCATCTGGCCCAAGGCTGTACCAGTAGCCCAGTATTTGTCTTGGTCCCAGAGCCTTGGAGAGATTCTGCCATCTCTCACCTGCTCTCAGCTTGGCCTCGAGTCTCTTATTGAGTACTTTCCAGGAGCAAGGACGGAGCAGGAGTGCCAAAAGGCACTGTCCCTCTGTCCTTTGTAGTGGTATCTAGCGTTGCTTTTCTGGCAGGCCTGCGGGTGCTCCTTGCGTGGGACTACAAAGTCCCCTCCAGCTCACCGGTTCTGCAGGAGACGCCGTGCCGTAATGCGGTCCTCCCCTGGCACGCTCGGCCGCTCCTCCCGCCTGGCAGGATGCTGGGCGAGGTGGGTCTCCGGTCAGACCCAGGGTGTGACGGTCCCGGCTTTCCTGTTGTTAACATCAGTATGGCATCACTGCGCCTTCCTCAGCAAAGGTGCTGAGCCCCAGCCCCGAGAGGGCTGCACGTGGTACGGAAGGGAAGGTGGTGTTGGCTAATGCTGCTTATTCCAAGATCCAGGGATTAGGGAAGAGAGAAGACTTCCAGATTCCTAGAGAGACAGGGGGAATTTTTTTGCTGACCCAAAGCGAGTGCGGTCTGCCTTGGGATCGGTGGGACGATGAGCTGCCCTTGCTGGCAGGATTAACATGGGCACGTTGCTGCTTTTTGTTGCAGGTGGGAAGGCAGCGGTAGCTCACTATGGCCCTGGCAGACAGCGCGGGCTGTGCCAAACCCAGCGAGGACTTTCCTTTCCCTGAGATCATTGAACTCAATGTAGGTGGACAAGTCTACATCACCCGCCACCCCACCTTGGTCAGCGTGCCTGGCTCACTCCTCTGGGAGATGTTCACCCAGAAGAACATCCGCTCCCTGGCCCGCGACAGCAAGGGACGTTTCTTCGTGGATCGGGACGGTTTCCTCTTCCGCTACATCTTGGATTACATGAGGGACCAGCAGCTGGTGCTGCCCGACCACTTCCCGGAGAGGAGTCGCCTGCAGCGAGAGGCCGAGTACTTCATGCTGCCGGAGCTGGTGAAGATGCTGGCCCCCAAGCTCAGCAAGCAGAACTCGCTGGGAGACGACCCATGCCAAAGCGACCCGGAGGAGCTCTCCCCCAACACGGATGCCACCCGCAACCTGACCTCCGCCGGTGCCACGCTCCCCAGCGCCGTGGGGGGTGGCCCCGGGGGTGCCGTCACTGCCAGCACGGGTGCTGCCAGCACCGACGTCTGGTGAAGATGCTGGCCCCCAAGCTCAGCAAGCAGAACTCGCTGGGAGACGACCCATGCCAAAGCGACCCGGAGGAGCTCTCCCCCAACACGGATGCCACCCGCAACCTGACCTCCGCCGGTGCCACGCTCCCCAGCGCCGTGGGGGGTGGCCCCGGGGGTGCCGTCACTGCCAGCACGGGTGCTGCCAGCACCGACGTCCGCAGGGCAGGTTTCATCACCATCGGCTAACGGGGGG